TTGATTTTTTTCGCATTTTTGCTGTTTCCATGGAAACGGCGGCAATCTTTTACCATTCCATAGCAAGGTGCACAACTTTACATGGGGGTCCTCATCATAGTAGAGTTCCATCAACATTGGTCCGTCCAATTCTGAGAACTAGCGCGGACAAAAAGTGTGGAAGAAAAATAATAAAAACAAGTAATCCTGTGTTAGGATACTAACACAAAAGTCGCCAAAACGGCCCCAGCCATTGTTCTGCTGTTTCCATTTAACGGCAGCCATTTTGATATTTCAAAGTCGGACATCACATCTACACGTGACAGATCACATTACTTACAAGTTTCATAAAAATTGGACCAATTTTCAAATTTAGGCATTCGTGTTTCCATGGTTACGGTGGCCATTTTGGAAATTCTAAAGTCAAATGCCACATCTACATAAGACAGTCAACATTTTTGTAAAGTTTCATTAAGTTTGAAACAATTTGAATTTTTTGACATTTTTGCAGTTTCCATGGTAACGGCAGCCATTTTAAAAATTCCAAAGTCGGATGGCACATCTACACATGACAGGTCACATTACTGTCAAGTTTCATAAAGATTGGACCAAATCTAGATTTTTCGCATTTTTGTTGTTTTCATGGCAACGGCGGCCATTTTTGAAATTCCAAAGTCAAATTCCAAATCTACATACACTCGTTAACATCTCTGTCAAATTTCATTAAATTTCAAGCATTTAAAAAAAAAAATCACATTTTTGCAGTTTCCATGGTAACGGCGGCCATTTTAAAAATTCCAAAGTCGAATTACAGCTACATATAGTGCTACCTGTAATAATCTATCATTATATAACATAAAAAGTACATAGGAATAATTCAACACTATCACATGACTATTGTTCTAGAATGTTCCATGAAAATTTACCCCCTAAAATAATGCCAAAATGACCCCGGGCTGAAATAAAAAATGTGGAATGGACACTTGGACATCGGTCTTTTGTATTACACAAAACTTAAAGGTTCTACCAGTAGCGAATCAATAGTCGAAAAATGACCCCACCCATGTTCCGGCCCCCAAATAGTGCCAAGTTGACCCCCATTTGAAATAAAATATAGCGAATGCACACCCAGGGATACTACCCCATCATCATACCAAATATAAAGTTTCCATCATTTAAGGCTTGGAATAAAATGGTCGGACAAATTAGGGTTAAGAATAATAATAATAATAATAATAATAATAATAATAAGAAACGGGACAAAAACATAAAGTCCCCGAAACTCCGTTTTGGAGACTTAACTAGATTTGCCTTTGCAAGCAATAGTGGATGTCACCCTTCCCCCCATTGCCACTAAGTGGCAGCCATTTTAAATTTTTTTAACAGTGAATGCACATATATGCATGGCAATACATCTTTCTGTAAATTATCAGAACATTTTGAGCATTTTGAAATTTTCACATTTTTGCTGTTTCCATGGCAACGGCGAACATTTTGAAAATTCCAAAGTCAAAAGCCTAATTTATACATGCCAGTTAGCATTATTATAAAGTTATATTAAGTTTGGTGCATTTTGAAATTTTTGACATTTTTGCTGGTTTCCATGGTAACAAAGACCATTCCCAAAATTGTGATGACAGATGCCACATTGGTACATGGGAGGGAACATACCATCAAAGTTTCAATGGATTTGACCTTCCATTTTAAGAGAGAAAATGCTACTTCAAGGTTTTTCCCATAGGGTTATAATGGGAAACCTTTACCCAGTTTCCATGGCAATACAGTAGTGATTCTCAAAATCATCAAAAACCTGTATATAGTGGATACCTATGTTGTATAAAAATTTGATGATTTTTAGTTCAGGCATTCTCAAATTAGTCATCAAAAACAAAAAAAAATATTTGTCACGTTTTTGATGTTTCCATGGAAACGGCGGCCATTTAAAAGTTCGAAAGTTTCATTGCAACTCCACTGATGGTGGTCCTTATTATGCTCAACAATCATTAAGATTGGTTCCATTGCCTCCGAGAAAACTGCCGGACAAAATTAGATGGAAGAAAACTAATAATAATAGGGAAAAAGAAACAGAGGAAAAGCAATATGTCACCAAACATTGTCGATCGGGTGACATAATAAGAAAAAAAAGAAACGTAGAATAATAATATGTCACCCCAACTCCGTTGAGGGTGCCATACCTATATTTGCCATTAGAAGCAATAGCGGATGGCACCCATCCCATATTGTTATAAAACTGCAGCCATTTTGAAAATTTTAAACATTCATTGCACATAAATACATCATAACACATCAGTCTGTAAATTTTCAGAAAGTTTGGAGTATTTTTCAATATTTCTCATTTTGCAGTTTCCATGGCAACGGCGGCCATTTTGGAAATTCCAAGTTCAAACATCTCATCTTTATTTACCAATCAACAATTATTTTAAGTTTGATCAAGTTTGAAGCATTGTGAAATTTTTGGACATTTTTGCTGTTCCCATGGTCACGGTGTCCATTTCGATAATTTTCCAACAACAGCTGCAACATTGACTTATGCTGTGTTATATATTCATGAAGTTTTATTGTGTTTGATAGAATATTTTTTTAAGAAAATGCTGCTTTAATGTTTTTTCCCATAGGGTCAATGTTAAACTTTTCTCCTGTTTCCATGGTAATGGCAGCCATTTTGGAATTTCTAAGTTTTGATGGTACGTCAGGGCACCACTGGCAACATTTACATAAAGTTTCAATAAGATGGCTCTAATAGCAAAAGATTTAGAAATTTGATTTTTTTTTACTATTTTGCTGTTTCCATGGTAACGGCGGCCATTTTGAACCATTTCAATTTCTCTTGCGCAACTTCACTAGTGGTCCACAATATGATATAGTTCCATCAACATTGGTCCATTCAATTCCGAGAAATAGCTCGGACAAAAAGTGTGGAAGAATGAAAATAATAATAACTAGATTTGCCATTGCAAGCAATAGCGGATGGCACCCTTCCCCCATTGCGAGGCGAGCGGCAGACATTTAGAAAATTCCAAAGTCAAAGAGTGCATTTACACATGCAAAAATATTATTTTTGTTAAGTTTCATTTAGTTTGGAGCATTTTGAAATTTTGGACATTTTTGCTGTTTCCATGGTTACGGCAGCCATTTTGAAAATTCCAACTTCAAAATGCAACTCAGCCAATGCCAGTTACTATTTCTGTAAAGTTTCACCCAGTTTGCAGCATTTTGATTTTTTTTTGAAATTTTGGACATTTTTGGTGCATCCATGGTTACAGTGGATAATTCCAAAATTCTAAAAGCAGACATCTCATTGCCACATGTCATGTTATATATCAGTACAGTTTCATTGACTTTGGTGAAATACTCTTTAAGAAAATGCTGATTTAATGCATCTTCCCAAAGGGTCAATGTAAAACTTGCCACCAGTTTCCATGACAACGGCGGCCATTTGGAATATCCAAATATTGTCTTGACATCTTGGCATACTGGGTGACATTTTCATAAAGTTACATCCAGTTGGGTCTTATAACGAAAGAGTTAGATTTTTTGATATTTCAGCTGTTTCCATGGTAACGGCAGCCATTTTGAAAATTCCGAAGTCAAACTGCAAATCAGCACATGCCAGATACCATTCCTGTGGAGTTTCTTTCAGTTTGGAACACTTTGATATTTTTCGCAGTTTTGCTGTTTCCATGGAAACGGTGGCCATTTTTTTACCATTCCATAGCAAGGTGCACAACTTTACATGGGGGTCCTCATTATAGTAGAGTTCCATCAACATTGGTCCATTGGATTCCAAGAACTCGCACGGACAAAATGTGTGGAAGAAAAATAAGAAAAAAAAGAAACGTAGAATAACAGTATGTCATCCCAACTCCGTTGAGGGTGCCATAATAATAAAAAGAAAAAAAAAAGAAACGTAGAATAACAATATGTCACCCCAACTCCGTTGAGGGTGCCATAATAACTAGATTTGTAATTGCTAGCAATAACGGATGGCACCCTTCCCCCATTGCCAGGGTAACGGCAGCCATTTTGAAAATTCCAAAGTCAAAGAGAACATCTACACATGCCAATTAACATTTCTGTAAAGATTCATTAAGTTTTGAGCACTTTGAAATTTTGGACATTTTTGCTGTTTCCATGGTCACGGCGGACATTTTGAAAATTCCAAAGTCGAATTACAGCTACATATGGTGCTACCTGTAATAATTTATCATTATATAACATAAAAAGTGCATAGGAATAATTCAACACTATCACATGACTAATCACATGACTATTGTTCTAGAATGTTCCATGAAAAGTGACCCCCTAAAATAATGCCAAGATGACCCCGGGCTGAAATAAAAAAATGTGGAATGGACTCCTGGACATCGGTCTCTTGTATTACACAAAACTTAAAGGTTCTACCAGTAGCGAATCAATAGTCGAAAAATGACCCCACCCATGTTCCGGCCCCCAAATAGTGCCAAGTTGACCCCCATTTGAAATAAAAAATAGTGAATGCACCCCTAGGGATACTACCCCAACATCATACCAAATATAAAGTTTCCATCATTTAAGGCTTGGAATAAAATGGTCGGCGAATTAGGGTTAAGAATAATAATAATAACTAGATTTGCCATTGCAAGCAATAGCGGATGGCACCCTTCCCCCATTGCCACGCGAGCGGCATCCATTTAGAAAATTCTAAAGTCAAAGAGTGCATCTACACATGCAAATTATCATTTTTGTAAAGTTTCATAAAGTTAGGAGCATTTTGAAATTTTGGACATTTTTGCTGTTTCCATGGTTAAGGCGGCCATTTTGAAAATTCCAACTTCAAAATGCAACTCTGCCTATGCCAGTTACCATTTCTGTAAAGTTTCATCCAGTTTGCATCATTTTGATTTTTTTGGAAATTTTGGACATTTTTGCTATTTCCATGGTTAGAGTGGATTATTCTAAATTCTAGAAGCAGACATCTCATATCCATATGTCATGTTATATATCAATACAGCTTAATTGACTTTGGTGAAATAATCTTTAAGAAAATGCTGATTTTATGCATTTTCCCATAGGGTCAATGTAAAACTTGCCCCATGTTTCCATGACAACAGCGGCCATTTTGGACTATCCAAATGTTGTCTTGACATCTTAGCATACTGTGTAACATTTTCATAAAGTTTCATCCAATTGGGTCTTATAACGAAAGAGTTAGAATTTTTGATATTTTAACTGTTTCCATGGTAACGGCAGCCATTTTGAAAATTCCAAAGTCAAACTGCAAATCAGCACATGCCAGTTAACATTTCTGTGGAGTTTCTTCCAATTTGGAACACTTTGATTTTTTTCGCAGTTTTGCTGTTTCCATGGAAACGGCGGCCATTTTTTACCATTCCATAGCAAGGTGTACAACTTAACATGGGGGTCCTCATTATAGTAGAGTTCCATCAACATTGGTCCATTGGATTCCAAGAACTCGCGCGGACAAAATATGTGGAAGAAAAATAAGAAAAAAAAAGAAACGTAGAATTACAGTATGTCACCCCAACTCCGTTGAGGGTGCCATAATAACTAGAATTGCCATTGCAAGCAATAGCGGATGTCACCCTGGTCTGCCAATTGCCACTAAACAGCAGCCATTTCGAAATTTTCCATCAGTGAATGCAGATTTATGCATGACAACAGATCTATCTGTTTTCAATTCCAATGAATTTGGAGCATTTTGATATTTTTTGTATTTTTGCTGTTTCCATGGTTACGGCCGCCATTTCTAAAAATTCCAAAGTCAAACTCCTGCTGCATATTGTTTTCCCTATAATAATACACCATCATATTACATTTAATGTCTGTAGACCTATTTTAACACTAATGTTCTGGAATGTTCCATGAAAAATTCACCCCCCTCAAATTATGCCAAGGAGACCCCCCAGTTGAAATAAAAATGTTCCATGTTGAAGTGTGCATGAGCCTCTTAATATCATAGAAGTTTCATATAAATTGGAACACATTTCTATTTTTCACATTTTTGCTGTTTCCATGGCAATGGCAGCCATTTTTTTTATTCCAAAGTCAGGTGCACAACTACACATGGTGGTTAACATTATGGTATAGTTCCATCATAATTGGTCCATTCAATTCCGAGAACTAAGCTGGACAAAAAGTGTGGAATAAGAATTATAAAAAAAAGATTCGAACAATAACAATATGTCACCCGACCTCCGTCAGGGTGACATAACTAGGTTTGCCATTGCAAGCAATAGCGAATGGCACCCTTCCCTCATTGCCAGGTGAGCGGCAGCCATTTAGCAAATTCCAAAGTCAAAGAGTGCATCTACACATGCAAATTATCCTTTTTGTGAAGTTTCATTAAGTTTGGAGTATTTTGAAAATTTTGACATTTTTGCTGTTTCCATGGTTACGGCGGCCATTTTGAACCATTCCAATGTCTCTTGCACAACTTCACATGGCGGTTCATATTATGGTATAGTTCCTTCAACATGGGTCTGACCAATCCCAAGAAATAGCATGGACAAAATGTGTGGAAGAATAAAAATAATAACTAGATTTGTAATTGCTAGCAATAACGGATGGCACCCTTCCCCCATTGCCAGGTGAGCGGCAGCCATTTTGAAAATTCAAATGTCCAAGAGCGCATATACAGATGTCTATTTACATTGTTGTAAAGTTTCGTCAATTTTGGAGCATTTTGAAATTTTTGAAATTTTTGCTATTTCCATGGTAACGGGTACAATTTCCAAAATTTCAAAAAAAAGTGTCACTTTGGGACATGCCATGTTACATATTCATTAAGTTTTATAAGGTTTGATCTAACATTCTGGCAGGAAATGCAGCTTCAATGTGTTTTCCCATAGGGTCAATGTTAAACTTTCGCCCTGTTTCCATGACAATGGCGGCCATTTTGGAATTTCGTAATATTGTCACAACATCTAGGCATACCAAGGAACATTACCATAAAGTTTCATCCAGCTAGGTCTTATAATGAAAGATTTAAAATTTTGAAAATTTTTTACTGTTTTGCTGTTTCCATGGAAACGGCGGCCATATTAAAAAATTCCAGAGTCAGATGCACAACTTCACATGGGGGTCCTCATAATAGTATAGTTCCATTAACATTGTATCACTCAATTCTGAGAAACAGCGTGGACAAAATGTGTGGAAGAATAATAAAAATGATAAGAAAAAAAAAGAAACGTAGAATTACAGTATGTCACCCCAACTCCGTTGAGGGTGCCATAATAACTAGAATTGCCATTGCAAGCAATAGCGGATGTCACCCTGGTCTGCCAATTGCCACTAAACAGCAGCCATTTCGAAATTTTCCATCAGTGAATGCAGATTTATGCATGACAACAGATCTATCTGTTTTAAATTCCAATGAATTTGGAGCATTTTGATATTTTTTGTATTTTTGCTGTTTCCATGGTAACGGCCGCCATTTAAAAAATTCCAAAGTCAATCTACTGCTGCATATTGTTTTCCCCATAATAATATACCATCATATTACATTTAATGTCTGTAGACCTATTTTAACACTAATGTTCTGGAATGTTCCATGAAAAATTCACTCCTCTCAAATTATGCCAAGGAGACCCCCCAGTTGAGATAAAAATGTTCCATGTTGAAGTGTGCATGAGTCTCTTAATATCATAGAAGTTTCATATAAATTGGAACACATTTCTATTTCTCACATTTTTGCTGTTTCCATGGCAATGGCAGCCATTTTTTTTATTCCAAAGTCATGTGCACCACTACACATGGTGGTTAACATTATGGTATAGTTCCATCACAAGTGGTCCATTCAATTCCGAGAACTAAGCTGGACAAAAAGTGTAGAATAAGAATAATAAAAAAAAAAGAATCGAACAATAACAATATGTCACCCGACATCCGTCAGAGTGACATAACTAGATTTGCCATTGCAAGCAATAGCGGATGGCACCCTTCCCTCATTACCAGGTGAGCGGCAGCCATTTAGCAAATTCCAAAGTCAAAGAGTGCATCTACACCTGCAAATTATCCTTTTTGTAAAGTTTCATTAAGTTGGAGCATTTTGAAATTTTTGACATTTTTGCTGTTTCCATGGTTACGGCGGCCATTTTGAAAATTCCAACTTCAAAATGCAACTCTGCCTATGCCAGTTACCATTTCTGTAAAGTTTCATCCAGTTTGCAGCATTTTGATTTTTTTTGAAATTTTGGACATGTATGCTGCAGCCATGGTTACAGTGGATAATTCCAAAATTCATGTCATGTTTTATATCAATACAGTTTCATTGACTTTGGTGAAATACTCTTTAAGAAAATGCTGATTCTATGCATTTTCCCAAAGGGTCAATGTTTAACTTGCCCCCAGTTTCCATGACAACGGCGGCCATTTTGGAGTATCCAAATATTGTCTTGGCATCTTGGCATACTGGGTAACATTTTCATTAAGTTTCATCCAGTTAGGTCTTATAACGGAAGAGTTAGAAGTTTTGATATTTTAGCTGTGCTCATGGTAACGGCAGCCATATTGAAAATTCCGAAGTCAAACTGCAAATCAGCACATGCCAGTAACCATTTCTGTGGAGTTTCTTCCAGTTTGGAACACTTTGGTTTTTTTTGGCATTTTTGCTGTTTCAATGGTTACAGTGGATAATTCCAAAATTCTAAAAGCAGACATCTCATTGCCACATGTCATGTTATATATCATTACAGTTTCATTGACTTTGGTCAATTACTCTTTAAGAAAATGCTGATTTTATGCATTTTCCTATAGGGTCAATGTAAAACTTGCCCCCAGTTTCCATGACAACGGCGCCCATTTTGGACTATTCAAATATTATCTTGACATCTTAGCATACTGGGTAACTTTTTCATAACATTTCATCCAGTTGGGTCTTATAACGAAATAGTTAGAATTTTTTATATTTTAGCTGTTTCCATGGTAACGGCAGCCATTTTGAAAATTTCAAAGTCAAACTGCAAATCAGCACATGCCAGTTACCATTTCTGTGGAGTTTCTTCCAGTTTGGAACACTTTGATTTTTTTTGGCATTTTTGCCGTTTCAATGGAAACGGCGGCCATTTTTTTTCACCATTCCATAGCAAGGTGCACAACTTTACATGCGGGTCCTCATTAAAGTAGAGTTCCATGAACATTGGTCCCTTGGATTCCAAGAACTCGCGCGAACAAAATTTGTGCAAGAAAAATAATAAGAAAAAAAAGAAACGTAGACTAACAGTATGTCACCCCAACTCCGTTGAGGGTGCCATAACTAGATTTGTAATTGCTATCAATAACGGATGGCACCCTTTCCCCATTGCCAGGCGAGCGGCAGCCATTTTGAAAATTCCAAAGTCAAAGAGCGCATCTACAGATGTCTATTAACATTGTTGTAAAGTTTCATAAAGTTTAGAGCATTTTGAAATTTTAGAAACTTTTGCTGTTTCTATGGTAACGGTTACCATTTCCAAAATTCCAAAGACAGGTGCCACTTGAGGACCTGCCATGTTACATATCCATAAAGTTTTATTAGATTTGATCTTATATTCTTGCAGGAAATGCAGCTTTAATGTGTATTCCCATAGGGTCAATGTTAAACTTTCGCCTTGTTTCCATGACAATGGCGGCCATTTTGGAACTTCTTAATATTGCATGCACATCTGGGCATATCAGGTAACACTTCCATAAAGTTTCATCCACTTGGGTCTTATAATGAAAGATTTAGAATTTTGAAATTTTTTCACATTTTGTCAGTTAACATGACAACGGCCGCCATCTTGAATATGCCATATCCTGTTTGCAAATCTTCACATGCTGGGTAACATTATTGTATAGTTCCATGACCATTGGTTCATACAGTTCCAAGATATAAGCTGGACAAAAAAAGTGGAAGAAAAATAATAAAAACTAGATTTGCCATTGCAAGCAATAGCGGATGGCACCCTCCCCCATTGCCAGGCGAGCGGCAGCCATTTAAAATTTTTTAAAGTCAAAGAGGGCATCTACACATGCAAATTATCATTTTTGTAAAGTTTCATTAAGTTTGGAGCATTTTGAAATTTTGAACTTTTTTCCTGTTTCCATGGTTACGGCAGCCATTTTGAAAATTCCAACTTCAAAATGCAACTCTGCCCATGCCAGTTACCATTTCTGTAAAGTTTCATCCAGTTTGCAGCATTTTGATATTTTTTGAAATTTTGAACATTTTTGCTGTTTCCATGGTTACAGTGGATAATTCCAAAATTCTAAAAGCAGACATCTCATTGCCACATGTCATGTTATATATCATTACAGTTTCATTGACTTTGGTCAATTACTCTTTAAGAAAATGCTGATTTTATGCATTTTCCTATAGGGTCAATGTAAAACTTGCCCCCAGTTTCCATGACAACGGCGCCTATTTTGGACTATTCAAATATTATCTTGACATCTCAGCATACTGGGTAACTTTTTCATAACATTTCATCCAGTTGGGTCTTATAACGAAATAGTTAGAATTTTTTATATTTTAGCTGTTTCCATGGTAACGGCAGCCATTTTGAAAATTCCAAAGTCAAACTGCAAATCAGCACATGCCAGTTACCATTTCTGTGGAGTTTCTTCCAGTTTGGAACACTTTGATTTTTTTCGCATTGATGCTGTTTCCATGGAAACGGCGGCCATTTTTTACCATTCCATAGCAAGGTGCACAACTTTACATGGGGGTCCTCATTATAGTAGAGTTCCATCAACATTGGTCCATCGGATTCTAAGAACTCGCGCGGACAAAATGTGTTGAAAAAAAATAAGAAAAAAAAGAAACGTAGAATAACAATTCGTCACCCCAACTCCGTTGAGGGTGCCATAACTAGATTTGCCATTGCAAGCAAAAGCGGATGGTACCCTTCCCACATTGCCACTAAACTGCAGCCATTTTGAAAATTTGAAACAGTATTCACACAAAAATACAATACAACATATTTGTTTGTAAATTTTTTAGAAAGTTTTGTGCATTTTTCAATTTTTCTAATTTTTGCAGTTTCCTTGGCAACGGCGGCCATTTTGGAAATTCCAAAGTGCAAAGTCTTATCTTTACTTTCCTTTTACCATTTATATTGAGTTTCATTAAGTTTGGAGCATTTTGAGATTTTTGGACATTTTTGATGTTTCCATGGTAACGGTGTCGATTTCGAAAATTCCAACAACAGTTTCAACATTGACTAATATGCCATGTTATATATTCATGAAATTTGTTTCAGTTTGATCTTATATTTCATAAGAAAATGCTGCTTTGATGTTTTTCCCTTAGGATCAATGTTAAACTTTTCTCCAGTTTCCATGGCAATGGCAGCCATTTTGAAAATTCCAAATACTGTTGGTACTTCAGGGCACCACTGCCAACATTTACATAAACTTTCAAGAGGTTGCCTCTTATAACGAAAAATTTAGGATTTTATTTTTTTGTTTACATTTTTGCAGATTCCATGGTAACGGCGGCCATTTTGAACCATTCCAATGTCTCTTGCACAACTTCACATGGCGGTTCATATTATGGTATAGTTCCATCAACATGGGTCTGACCAATCCCGAGAAATAGCATGGACAAAATGTGTGGAAGAATAAAAATAATAAAAAGAAAAAAAAGAAACGAACAATAACAATATGTCACCCCTACTCCGTTATGGGTGCCATAATAAGAAAAAAAGAAACGTAGAATAACAATATGTCACCCCAACTCCGTTGAGGGTGCCATAATAATAAGAAAAAAAGAAACGTAGAATAACAATATGTCACCCCAACTCCGTTGAGGGTGCCATAATAATAATAAAAAGAAAAAAAGAAGAAACGAACAATAACAATATGTCATCCCAACTCCGTTGAGGGTGTCATAATAATAATAATAATAAGAAACGGGACAAAAACATTAAGTCCCCAAAACTCCGTTTTGGCGACTTAACTAGATTTGTAATTGCTAGCAATAACGGATGGCACCCTTCCCCCATTGCCAGGCGATCGGCAGCCATATCGAAAATTCCAAAGTCAAAGAGTGCACTACACATGCAATTTATCAGTTTTGTAAAGTTTCATTAAGTTTTGAGGATTTTGAAATTTAGAAATTTTTGCTGTTTCCATCGTAACGGCGGCCATTTTGGAAATTCCAAAGTGGAACGTCTTATCTACATATGCCATTTATCATTACTGTGAATTTTTCAGAAAGTTTTGAGCATTTCAAATTTTTTGAAATTTTTGATGTTTCCATGGTACCCATAGATATTTCCAAAATCCCAAAGCAGACACCACATTGGCAAATGTCATGTTACATATCAATACAGTTTCATTGATCTCTATGTAATATTCTTTAAGAAAATGCAGCTTTTATGTATTTTTCCATAGTCTCAATGTTAAACTTTCGCCCTGTTTCCATGACAATGGCGGCCATTTTGGAACTTCTTAATATTACATGCACATCTAGGCATATCAGGTAACACTTCCATAAAGTTTCATCCATTTGGGTCTTATAATGAAGGATTTAGAATTTTTAAAATTTTTCACATTTTTGCAGTTTCCATGGAAACGGTCGCCATCTTAAACCATTCCATGCTTCGTGCACAACTTCACATGGGGGTCCTTAATATAGTTGAGTTCCATCAACATTGGTCCATTGGATTTCGAGAAATTGCGTGGACAAAATGTGTGGAAGAAAAATGATAACTAGATTTAATATTGCAAGCAATAGCGGATGTCACCCTTCCCCATTGTCACTAGATTGCAGCCAGTTTTAAAATTTTAAACAGTGAATTCACATATATACTGATGGCTATACATCTTTCTGTAATTTTTTAGAACATTTAGTGGATTTACAAATTTTACGCATAATTTTTCCTTTTTTGCCTTGTTTCCATGGTAACGGCAGCCATTTTTGGAAATTCCAACGCCAATTGCTGCTTCCACACATGACAGTCAACATTATTGTGAAGTTTTATTAAGTTTGAAGCATTCTGAAATTTTTGAAATTTTTGCTCCTGTATCCATGGTGACATAGTAGTTCCAATGATTGTCAAAATCATTGAAAACCTGTATATAATGGACAACTATATTGTATAAAAATTTGATGATTTTAAGTTAAAGCATACCAAAATTATTCACCAAACCCTGAAGTTTTTGGAGCATTTTGACCTTTTTGCATTGTTTCCATGGTAACAGCAGACATTTTGGAAATTCCAACGCCAAATTCCACATCTACCAATGTTGCTCATCATTACTGTGAAGTTTCAAAAAATTTTGAGCATTTTGATATTTTTGAAATTTTGGATGTAGTTTCCATGGCAACATAGTAGTTCCAATGATTGCCAAAATCATCCAAAACCAGGACATAGTAGGCACCTACATAGTATTAAAATATAATGATTCTAAGTTTAAGCATCTCCAAATAATTCACCAAAACCAAAAACTGGATTTTTTCACATTTGTTCCGTTTCCATGGTAACGGCAGCCATTTTTAATGTTCTTAAGACCTACTGCAACCCGAAATTTTGTGTTCCTCATTATAGTTAACTATCATCAAGATTGGTTCCATTGGCTCCAAAAAAAAACTGCAGGACAAAAATAGGTGGAAGAATAATAATAATAACTAGATTTGTAATTGCTAGCAATAACGGATGGCACCCTTCCCCCATTGCCAGGCGAGCGGCAGTCATTTAGAAATTCCGAAGTCAAAGAGTGCTTTTACACATGCAAATTATCATTTTTGTAAAGTTTCATTAAGTTTGGAGCATTTTGAACTTTTTGACATTTTTGCTGTTTCCATGGTTACAGCGGCCATTTTGAAAATTCCAACTTCAAAATGCAACTCTACACATGCCAGTTACTATTTCTGTAACGTTTCATCCAGTTTGCAGCATTTTCATTGTTTTTGGAAATTTTTGACATTTTTGCTGTTTCCATGGTTACAGTGAATGATTCCAAAATTCTAAAAGCAGACATCTCATTGCCTCATATCATGTTATATATCAATACAGTTTCATTGACTTTGGTGAAATACTCTTCAAGAAAATGCTGATTTTATGCATTTTCACATAGGGTCAATGTAAAACTTGCCCCATGTTTCCATGACAACGGCGGCCATTTTGGACTATCCAAATATTGTCTTGACATCTTAGCATACTGGGTAACATTTTTAAAAAGTTTCATCCAGTTGGTTCTTATAATGAAAGAGTTAAAGTTTTTGATATTTTAGCTGTTTCCATGGTAACGGCAGCCATTTTGAAAATTCCAAAGTCAAACTGCAAATCAGCACATGCCAGTTACCATTCCTGTGGAGTTTCTTCCAGTTTGGAACACTTTGATTTTTTTCGCATTGATGCTGTTTCCATGGAAACGGCGGCCATTTTTTACTATTCCATAGCAAGGTGCACAACTTTACATGGGGGTCCTCATTATAGTAGAGTTCCATCAACATTGGTTAATTGGATTCCAAGAACTCGAGGGAAAAAATGTGTGGAAGAAAAATAAGAAAAAAAAGAAACGAAGAATAACAGTATGTCACCCCAACTCCGTTGAGGGTGCCATAAAAAGAAACGTAGAATAATAACACGTCACCCCAACTCCGTTGAGGGTGCCATAACTAGTAATCCTTTTGTTAGGATGCTAACACAAAAATCGCCAAAACGGACCCCCAATCATTTTTCTGCGGTATCCATGGTAACGGCAGCCATTTTGGAAAGTTAAATAGCACATCATCATATGCCAGTTTACATTTGTGTAAAGTTTCAATCAGTTTGATGCATTTAAAAAAAAGTCACATTTTTTGCAGTTTCCATGGTAACGGCGGTCATTTTGGAAATTTCAGAGTCAAATACTACTTCTACATATGCCAGTTAACATTTGTGTAAAGTTTGTTTAAGTTTGAAGCATTTAAATTTTTTCACATTTTTGCAGTTTCCATGGTAACGGCGGCCATTTTGGAAATTCTAAAGTCAAATGCCACATCTATATATGCTTATCAACATTTGTGTAAAGTTTCATAAAGATTAAAGCATTTTGAGATCTTTCACATTTTTGCAGTTTCCATGGTAACGGCGGCCATTTTAAAAATTCCAAAGTCAAACAGCTGTTGCATATGGTGCTACCCATAATAATATACCATCATATAACATTTTATGTCTCTAGAATTAATTCAACACTTATGTTCTAGAATGTTCCATGAACATTTACCCCCTCAAATTATGCCAAGGAGACCCCCAACTGAAATAAAAAATGTTCCATGTTGAGGTGGACATGTGTCTCTAAATATTCATAGAAGTAACCATAATTCTATCTACTCTGCATAGAGCAGCTAATTTAAATGTAAAATGTTTTTGACCCCACCCATCTTTGAGGCCCCCTAATTATGCCAAGTGGACACCCTGGTATCATGAATTTTTGGTTCTGCAACCCCCATGATACAAACCCATACCCATAATAAATATAAAGTCCCATCCTCTATAGCTTTCAAAAAAATGGTAGGACAGTTAAAGGGGTCAGAAAGAGAAGAATAAGAATAACAAGTAATCCTGTGTTAGGATGCTAACACAAAAGTCGCCAAAACGGCCCTCAACCATTGTTCTGCTGTTTCCATGGTAACGGCAGCCATTTAGAAATTTCAAAGTCCGATATCACATCTACACGTGACAGGTCACATTACCTACAGTTTTCAAATTTAGGCATTCGTGTTTCCATGGTTACGGTGGCCATTTTGGAAATTCCAAAGTCAAATGCAACATCTACATAAGACAGTCAACATTTGTGTGAAGCTTCATTAAGTTTGAAGCATTTTGAATTTTTTGACATTTTTGCAGTTTCCATGGTAACGGCAGCCATTTTGAAAATTCCAGAGTCGGATGGCACATCTACACATGACAGGTCACATTACTGTCAAGTTTCATAAAGATTGGACCAAATCTAGATTTTTCGCATTTTTGTTGTTTCCATGGCAACGGCGGCCATTTTGGAAATTCCAAAATCAAATTCCAAATCTAGACACACCTCGTTACCATCTCTGTAAAATTTCATTAAATTTGAAGCATTTTAAAAAAAATTCACATTTTTGCAGTTTCCATGGTAACGGCGGCCATTTTAAAAATTCCAAAGTCGAATTACAGCTACATATGGTGCTACCTGTAAAAATCTATCATTATATAACATAAAAAGTACATAGGAATAATTCAACACTATCACATGACTAATCACATGACTATTGTTCTAGAATGTTTCATGAAAATTGACCCCCTAAAATAATGCCAAAATGACCCCGGGCTGAAATAAAAAATGTGGAATGGACACCTGGACATCGGTCTCTTGTATTACCCAAAACTTAAAGGTTCTACCAGTAGCGAATCAATAGTCGAAAAATGACCCAACCCATGTTCCGGCTCCCAAATAGTGCCAAGTTGACCCCCATTTGAAATAAAAAATAGTGAATGCACCCCTAGGGATACTACCCCATCATCATACCAAATATAGAGTTTCCATCACGTAAGGCTTGGAAGAAAATAATCGGACAAATTAGGGTTAAAAATAATAATAATAACAAGTAATCCTGTGTTAGGATGCTAAAACAAAAGTCGCCAAAACGGCCCCCAACCATTGTTCTGCTGTTTCCATGGTAACGGCAGCCATTTTGACATTTCAAAGTCGGATAGCACATCTACACATGACAGGTCACATTACTTACAAGTTTCATAAAAATTGGACCAATTTTTAGATTTAGGCATTCGTGTTTCCATGGTTATGGCGGCCATTTTGGAAATTCCAAAGTCAAATGCCACATCTTCATAAGACAGTCAACATTTGTGTAAATTTTCATAAAGTTTGATGCGTTTTGAATTTTCGACATTTTTGCAGTTTCCATGGTAACGGCAGCCATTTTGAAAATTCAAAAGTCGGATGGCACATCTACACATGACAGGTCACATTACTGTCAAGTTTCATAAAGATTGGACCAAATCTAGATTTTTCGTATTTTTGTTGTTTCCATGGCAACGGCGGCCATTTTGGAAATTCCAAAGTCAAATTCCAAATCTACAAACACTCGTTAACATCTCTGTAAAATTTCATTAAATTTGAAGCATTTAAAAATTTTTTCACATTTTTGCATTTACCATGGTAACGGCGGCCATTTTAAAAATTCCAAAGTCGAATTACAGCTACATATGGTGCTACCTGTAATAATCTATCATTATATAACATAAAAAGTACATAGGAATAATTCAACACTATCACATGACTAATCACATGACTATTGTTCTAGAATGTTCCATGAAAATTGACCCCCTAAAATAATGCCAAAATGACCCCGGTCTGAAATAAAAAATGTGGAATTGACACCTGGACATCGGTCTCTTGTATTACAAAAAACATAAAGGTTCTACCAGTATCGAATCAATAGTCGAAAAATGACCCCACCCATGTTCCGGCCCCCAAATATTGCCAAGTTGACCCCCATTTGAAATAAATAATAGTGAATGCACCCCTAGGGATACTACCCCATCATCATACCAAATATAAAGTTTCCATCATTTTAGGCTTGCAAGAAAATGGTCGGACAAATTAGGGTTAAAAATAATAATAATAATAATAATAATAATAATAATAATAATAATAATAATAATAAACGGGACAAAAACATAAAGTCCCCAAAACTCCGTTTTGGCGACTTAATAATTATTAGGGAAAAAGAAACAGAGGAAAAGCAATATGTCACCCGACATTGTCGATCGGGTGACATAATAACAAGTAATCTTGTGTTATGATGCTAACACAAAAGTCGCCAAAACGGCCCCCAACCATTGTTCTGCTGTTTCCATGGTAACGGCAGCCATTTTGAAATTTCAAAGTCGGATATCACATCTACACGTGACAGGTCACATTACTTACAAGTTTCATAAAAATTGGACCAATTTTTAAATTTAGGCATTCGTGTTTCCATGGTTACGGTGGCCATTTGGGAAATTCCAAAGTCAAATGCCACATCTACATAAGACAGTCAACATTTGTGTAAAGTTTCATTAAGTTTGAAGCATTTTGAATTTTTTGACATTTTTGCAGTTTCCATGGTAACGGCAGCCATTTTGAAAATTCCATAGTCGGATGGCACATCTACACATGACAGGTCACATTACTGTCAAGTTTCATAAAGATTGGACCAAATCTAGATTTTTCGCAGTTTTGTTGTTTCCAAGGCAACGGCGGCCATTTTGGAAATTCCAAATCAAATTCCAAATCTACATACATTCGTGAACATCTCTGTAAAATTTCATTAAATTTGAAGCATTTTAGAAAATTTTCACATTTTTGCAGTTTCCATGGTAACGGCGGCCATTTTAAAAATTCCAAAGTCGAATTACAGCTACATATGGTGCTACTTGTAATAATCTATCATTATATAACATAAAAAGTACATAGGAATAATTCAACACTATCACATGACTAATCACATGACTATTGTTCTAGAATGTTCCATGAAAATTGACCCCCTAAAATGATGCCAAAATGACCCCGGACTGAAAAAAGAAATGTGGAATGGACACCTGGACATTGGTCTCTTGTATTATCCAAAACTTAAAGGTTCTACCAGTAGCGAATCAATAGTCGAAAAATGACCCAACCCATGTTCCGGCTCCCAAATAGTGCCAAGTTGACCCCCATTTGAAAAAAAAAATAGTGAATGCACCCCTAGGGATACTACCCCATCATCATACCAAATATAAAGTTTCCATCATTTAAGGCTTGGAAGAAAATGGTCGGACAAATTAGGGTTAAGAATAATAATAATAATAATAATAATAATAATAAAAAACGGGACAAAAACATAAAGTCCCCAAAACTCCGTTTTGGCGACTTAATAACTAGATTTGCCATTGCAAGCAATAGCGGATGGCACCCTTCCCCTAATGCCACTAGATTGCAGCCAGTTTAAAAATTTTAAACAGTGACTGCACATATATACTGATGTATATACGTCTTTCTGTTATTAAGTCTCCCAAACGAAGTTTGGGAAGACTTATTGTTTTTGCTCAGTTCTTATTATTCTTCTTCTTCTTCTTCTTCTTCTTCCGCCGCTTTTAAATTTGAACTTGTCCGCACCTGTTCTCCAAAACCGCTTGTCATATTAACTTAGGGTTTCACAATATGTTAGACTAACATGTCTAGTGGTGCAATCAGGGTTTTGTTTGTGCAATGGGGTTTATAAAGGGGTACTTTGAGGGGCAAAAAGAAAAGAGGGTTTTACTATAGAACCCTATGGGATTTTATTTTTTAAATTTTTAAATGATTATAAATTGAAAACCGTTTGTGATAAACACAATCTTTTTAATTGAAAATGTTCTAAATGATAAAGCCCATTAAATGAAATACAGGGTTAGTCCCCAGGGGTCACCCCCACCCCCTGCCATTTAAGAAAGTTCTAATACCTTGTAAGTGGTCAAGATCCCCACCCCTAAACCATATATATTTTGGTTTGTCATGCTAAGATGGTTTGAATGATATACAGGGTTAGTCCCCAGGGGTCATCCCGACCCCCTGCCATTTTAGAAAGTTCT